TTTCCAGAGTATATGTACATATGGGCAGAAACACACTGCCGACGAAGACTATGGAGACCGGAATGGCCGTTTCCGGCTTATTAGTCGGCGTGGTCTAGCCATACCTCAACTGCAGATTTGTACGACCTGGCACTTTAAACCTATGGCCTTGTGCGTTAAAAAGCCAAGTTTCTACTACCTCTACAACCTCTCAGTCTAGCTGCCCCCTCCCCATGCAGGTGATAGTTAATAACCCCCCCCTCAAATGTTGAGTTGCGCTCCGCAATCACTCATGTTGTTTATCATCTTCTGTGCAATGACTCCGTTTTTGCGTGACCTCTGGAAATCTCATTCATGTGGGCCGCTCAACTCCCCTTTGTGTGAAATCCTGGTACTTATGTTTGGGGGGGGGGAGAGGTGGCAGGTTGTGTACGTAGTACGCGTAGTTGAGGTCATCAGATATATCAGAAAGTGGCCAAACCCCCGCACCAGTTCACTGACTGGCTCGGACAGTGACTGGAGCCTGGGAATAGGGATTAAGGTCTATGGCTCAGCGCACTTTCCTCAATATAAACAACCTGTTGCGCTTGAAACTGGAGGGCTTGGAGGGCTGCCAACGGACGGGATTGCTCGGACCGTGCGGTCAGCCCAGTGTCTGTTTGTGTGGAGTGGCTGACTGGCGAACTGAGGGTCGTGCCGCAACGGCTCCTCAACGAGGGCCACTCCGTGGGATCCGAGCCAGGTCAAGTGCAGGCTGTGAACAGGTGGGAGTATGACATGGTGCGGTAAATACGCTGGACAAACATGGGAGTTAGATCAGGGCACGGCAGACGTTGTCCGGGTTACACTTCCATAACAAATGCTGAGGGCGTTGGTGGCAAGCGGAGATGCAGGCTCAGACACCAGCCAACCGTGGCCTCGATAACACTCCCACTTCGTGAGATCTGAGTCAAGCGCGACGTCTCCGGCTGCCTACGTCTCATCCCACTTCCGGTCTTTTTTGACTCTATACTGACGCCGGACACAGGCGGGCGAGGGGAGAGTTTGTCAGATATAACACAAGTTTAATATCGCCTAAAAGTAATCCACGCGTAAGTCACTGTCCCTGCACCACTATGCTACAGAGAACACGTTGGACCTCATCGGAATGGACGGTCGTGTCGTGCGTACTTTATACTACTTATACGACAACCGCAATGATATATAATCATATATACGCATACAGTAGTCGCCGTTTATTAAGACCACCTCGGGCCCAGACCAAATTGGGCTTAATAAGCGGCGGGC